TTTTAATGGGCTGTTAACTTTCGCTTTGCAATTTCCCCGCAAGTCCAGGAGTCCGAGATTCGTTTGCAAACACAAAGGCGGTCGTCTCTCAGCGGTATGCCTTCCTTTTCAAAGGTCAAAGCTATCATCTGTACTCAAAAGGTCCAGAAAGGTGGAGGACCGTGCTCTGCCTCACTCTAGGAATCCTTCACTGAAAAAAGACAGCTGTTTCATTAACACCTCTGGCACCTCCTCAGACTCAATTAGTACCCCTCGTTCCCTGGGGCAGTTGATGATCATACTGCCTTCTCCAAGAGGCTGCATAGCCAACCCTTCTCCCCCAGTCTGGCCTTCTCTCGATGCCTTTGCGCTACTGTTCCCCATATTCCCCCCCCCAAAACATCGATTGTGCCGGCCTGGAGGGGTGAGCGGTATAGAACCCAGGGAAACTTGCCCAAGGCTTTTGTTACCACCTTTGAACTGGCAAAACCAGCATCTAGGCTGTGTTGCTCCAAGGAGTGATACAGGAATTCAAGCTACAGAAGAGATTCCACCTGAATCTCAGGAAGAACTTCCTGACATCAATAGGAGTCTAGTGTCTAGTTCAAGGGAAGTGATAGTACCACTCTCTTCTGCCTTTGGTCAGACCTCACCTGGAGTCGCGTGTCCAGTTTTGGGCACCTCAATTCAAGAAGGATGTTGACAACCTGGAACGTGTTCCAGAGGAGGGCGACCAAAATGGTCAAAAGTCTGGAAGCCGTGTCCTACAAGGAGCTGGAAATGTTTAGCTTTACAAAAAGAAGGTTGAGAGGGGACAGGATAGCCATGTTTAAATATTTGAAAGGATGTCATGTCGAGGAAGGGACAGGTTTGTTTTCCAGGGCTCCAGAGACTCGGACACGGAGCAATGGTTTCAAACGACAGGAGAAGAGATTCCATCTGAACATTAGGAAGAACTTCCTGATGTCAGAGCCGGTCGGCCGTGGCAGAGGCTGCCTGGAAGGGTGGTGGAGTCTCCATTCTTTGGAGGTTTTTAAAGCAGAGGCTGGATGGCCATCTGTCCGGAGTGCTTTGATGGATGTTCCTGCATGGCAAGGGGTTGGGCTGGATGGCCTCAGTGGTCTCTTCCAACTCTATGACTCTATGAATAAGAGGAATCCGTGGAGGGGTGTGTGTGTGTGTGTGTGTGTGTGTGTGTGTTTTCTTTTACGGGCTTGCGGTCTGCAATGATGCAGCCTTGGGAAGAAACACTACAGTAGAGGACGAGCACCACACCATAGGTGGTTTTTATTTTGACTTGTATAAACTTTTGCCAGCACATATGCAGATCCTGGAACAGTTTTAAAAAACTGTTGCCTAAATATATATATTGCAACTTCTAGAATCCTCAAACAGCCTTCTCAAGAACCAGCTGAGCCCATCACTGGCCTCAGGGCTATAGAATCCCTGGTGCTGCTCCTCTTCCCTTTGATTGATTGATTGATTGATTGATTAACTGTTTGATTGATGGTTTAATTGTTTCATCTATATTCTGCTTTTCCTCCCATGCGCTCGACGTGGCTTTCCTCTTCCTACTCAACACTCACAACCGGCAGGTCAAATGGAGAGAGTTTGATGCCTGATTTTGGGGGTGTGTGAGGGGGAAGGGCAGGATCAGAACCCAAGTCCCCCTAATCTGACATTGCAACCCCTACATTGTTCTGACTTTTCCTGGTGTGGCTTTACTCTTTCCTTTTTCTTCTTCTTTTCTTCGTTTGCTCCCTGGACATTTTCCTGCCTTGGCCTCGATTTTCCTGCCCATAATGCAAAAGTGAAGTCCGGGCTCCTAGTAAAAGCAGAGCGGGTGGCTGGGTCTCTCTCTCTCTCTCTCTCTCTCTTTCCCTCCACCCCCAGGCGTTTGCCCCCTAACTTCCCCCTCCTTCCCTCTGCCCTCCTCTGACCCCTTTACAATGGTACAGTTCTAAAGAAGATGTTTTGTGGTCATCGGCCCCCACTTGTGTCGACCTCCACAGTTCTCTCCCGAAACCCGTTCACAGAAGTGGATTAGGTTTCCTGTTTCAGCGGGCTGGCCAAATTGGTTTCCCCCTCCCTTCAGCACATTGGCCTCGGATAACACGGGCATCGACACACTCTTCCTAAATCCTTTCTTGGATTTCCAGCAAATAACGCATCTGCAGCCCCTCCTGAGGTCCAAACACCCCCCTCCTCCTTCTTGCTCAGCTCCCTGTGATTTTCTTCCTTCTCTCTCCATCCCCCCCAACCCTTGCTATAGCCCCCTGTCGGACACGGGTCCAAACTACAAGCCCTTCCAACTGGCTCCAGAATAAAGAGTGCCAGAGGAAGAATCTGCCACCTTTCCCTTTTGTGGTTTCCTCCTCTCTCTCTCTCTCCCCCCATCCCTCGGATCGGCTGGAGGGCGGCAGGAATCTGAGGTTATTCGGTGGAAGAGGCCCATGGGAACCTCGTCCTCCATGCGGGCCGGCCTCTGCGCATCCGAGGCGGCTCCTTCCGTCTGCCGAAAGGTTGCATGTGTGGGCGTAGGGTTTCGAGCCTGTGCACAGTGTGTGGGTGTGCGTGCGGGAGCTGTCACGACCCACGCCATGTTGGAATGACCGCAAACACTTCATAGTAACAAAGGAGTGGAAAAAGCCAGTGCTTTTTCTTCAAAGCATGTGACCCTTCCTTGAGGTTTTGGAAACCCGGCGGTATGTTCCAGCCTTCGGCGGCTGCCTGTCAGCCTCGGGGAGAGGTTGGTTTCTCCCCTCAGCCTTTTTCTTGGGTTTGGAGAGTTGCGGCCAAGAACTGTTGCCTAAATGTATGCGTTGTTTTCTCTTCCTGCCCCTCCTTCCCTTCCTTCTGCAGCTGAAACTGGCATTTACTTTGGACCAAGCGAGCGGGATGCCCCAAGGCTGCTACGTCTATCAGTACCGGGACAGCAACAAGTAAGGCCTCAAAAAAGCTCTCCCTGGGGTGGCGGGGAGGGGGGGAAGGTGGAAGAGGTAAACGGAGATCGACCGTGCAGATCGATGCCCAGCGAATGTCCATGCATTGGCAGGAGAGGGAGTCGGGCTCTCGCCAACAAGACAGTGGCCCCCTCTAGCTTCCGGATGATAGCAGATCCCCCCCAAAGAGTTTCACCATTCCTCCGTTTCTGCCCAGCCTACGTTTCCCCCTCCAAACTCAGAGCGGCAGTTTAGCTTTGCAGCGACAGCCCTGTGAGGTGGGGCTTGGGGTCGGAACATTGCCACCGCCGAGCATTTGGTCCAAAGTCCGGTTCGTTGCATCCTGATCTGCCTACCATTGCCCAATCGGGCATGGGCAAGATCTTTGATGCCCTGGGGTGGACGGCACCCCTTCCCTCGCCTAGCTGAAGATGCCGGGCACCCAAAGCCTGTCTTGAGTTAGAATCCCCAAAGCCACCCCACCCCGGCAGCAGAGATGAAGGAATGCAAAATTCAATAATGTCCAGTCTTCTGCCCTTTTATGAGACCTGACCTCTCTGGCCAGAGACCGCTGCCTCGCCCTGCTGGCCACACGTCCAAGGTAAAACAAAAAAACCAGCGCCAGTCGCCACCACCGTGTGAAGTGTTCAGCAACCCACCTGCGTTTCCTCTGAGCCCAGAGCTAGAAAAGGGCAGGAGGGGTGTTACGTTCGTAGAAGGCAGATTTTGTGGGTGGGATCGAACGAGGAGACGGGTCAGCACCAGCCGAGGAAAAGGGGTGGGGGAAGAACAGCAGAGCCCCAAAGGCGAAGGGGAAAAAACATTCTGCGCATCCAGCCTGCGTCAAGGTGCCCGCAACTCTGACCAGCGCAAAAACTGGACTCACAGAAAAGGACCCTACCGTGGGTGTAAAGAGTGTCGTGTCGTGTCATTCAAGTGGGTGAGGCCAGCTACAGATTTTATATCAGATTGTATAGAGAAGACATGCAATAGTCTGTTAAGCATTCCAGAGATTGTCCAGAAAGCATTTGGTAATTTCACAGCTGGGGTTTTTTAAATCAGAGGTCGTGATCCGTTCCGAGGACAATCGGTGAACCGGTAGCACAGCTCTCAAAAAGGCAGGCAGAGAAGATCGCTTGAAGAATGCAAGACAGGCTGGCTTCAGGTGGCAAATCCAATGCAGTAGGGACACACACACACCCCATATATGTGGGGGATAGGTTCTAACCGCTTCCCCCGCAGATGCTGAAAACCGTGGATTATAGTGAACGCTGTTTTAATAGCAAATACGATGCCTAGCGTGCTCTCTGGCTCCCTCTCGTGGCCAGTTCTGGTACCCTCTTCTGTCGCTGTTTCTAGGATTGTTCTTTTAATATATATATTTTACCATGAATAAGTGAATCAGCAGATATAGGGGTCCAACTGTAGTAGAATGCACCGTACGATTAAGAATCTGGCAAGCATGTCTCTCTGTTGGTGCCCCGTGTCCACCTGATTCCAGAGAGGGAATGGAATGAATGGTCATCTTCTAGTTGTTCATTCCTGGAAATTAGACAAATGGAGCAAACTAGGCTGTGTGTCCTTCATCTTTCCTCTTTTGCAGCTGGAAGAAAGACGTTAGAAGCATCACTTCCCTGCTTTTAAGCAGGCCATCGTTTCCTATTTTGCCTTTCAACTTGGGCCACTAGAGCTTAAGAGTTGTAACTTTCATTTGTGAGAATGAATGAGGATCAGATTAGGGTTTCAGATCCTGACTTGCACGGTAACTGGTGCGAAATCAAAGCACAGTTCTGTGAATTCAGGCAGAGAGTGGGAAAGCCCGGTTTGCTTCAAAGAGGAATCAGCTGCTTCCCATCGCCCTGCTCTTTTGGAGGAGGAAGGGAGAGTGAGAACACATTCAAGCTGTACATTGGTATAGCTTTGTTGTTTAGTTGTTAAGTCATGTCCGAGTCTTCATGACCCCATGGAACAGAGCACGCCGGGCCCTCCTGCCTTCCACAGCCTCCCGGAGTTGGGTCAAATTCACGTTGGTCACTTCGATGACCCTGTCCAGCCATCTTATCCTCTGTCGTCCCCTTCTCCTCTTGCCTTCACACTTTCCCAACATCAGGGGCTTTTCCAGGGAGTCTTCTCTTCTCATGAGATGGCCAAAGTATTGGAGCCTCAGCTTCAGTATCTGTTGGTATAGCTGAAAGCCAGAATTTCCTGTTACACCTGAGCTCTGCGATTTAAAGGCTGAATGGTTCGAGGCTTTCTCTTTTAAAAGGATTGGTCTTCAGCAGAAGGTAGTTTGTCTGGAGCTTGGGTATTCCTTTGACAGCATTACCCCAGGAAACCAGTTGCCACCTAGACATGCAGACGGGGAAACGTATTGGCTACTGCTGATTTATAGCTTAAAGTACATTGGTAGTTTAAGGCAGTGGTTCTTAACCTTTGTTACTTGGATGCTTTTGAACTGCAACTCCCAGAAACCCCAGTCAGCACAGCTGGTGGTGAAGGCTTCTGGGAGTTGCAGTCCAAAACTCCTGAGTAACTCAAGGTTAAGAACCAGTGGTTTAAGCTATAAAACTTGTGGTGTCGTGGACAGAGTGGTGGACTTAGGAGACTTGTGTTCAAATCCCTCTTGGCCATGGAAACTCGCTTGTGGAGGGGTGGAACTGGAAAAACCACTCCTTATATATCTCACTTACCGTGGAAATCCAAATAGGGTCAGTATAAGTTGGGTGTGATTTGATGGCACACAAAACTGAAATGAACAGGTTGTTAATAAGATTTGTGACCGCATGCACATTTCAAGGTGGCTACAATCAGCTGGGCTTAATTATGTTAATCATCGTAGACGAAAGGAAGCACAGCATCAGAACTGGCATGTTTTTGCGGGTGTGGTGTGCACATGTATAATGAACATACACTGACCTACGGAGAGCCAGGTGTGTCCTATATTTTTACAGAATCTTGGTATTTTTCTAGGAGATCCCTGTTCAAAGGCTTCACCTGTTGAATTCAGTCGACTCCAAACCCTCTCTTCTAATCCATCAGTAGGAAGTTGTTGAGATAATATTTTTGAGGCAGGAGTAAATTGTGTCGTTGCTGTTGCTCGGGTCCTGCTTTTAGGGTTCAGGGTACACTAGGTGACAACAGATACAGCATTAACTGGGAGAGAAACCACTCTCGTACCGTTCCAAAGGACAGCCTGCTCTGACATCTTGTTAGAGGGTGGAGGCCACCCTTGTTTGGTAGAGCTGCACATAGCCCGCAATTCCTGAGAATCCCTTCCTACCCATCCTTTGTATTAAATTAGCCATTTAGGTCCTCAAATGTGGGTGAGATGAGCCCTTCCCCTCTGTGAAAGCTCATCTTTTTAGAAGCGATGGTTTGCTTGCAGAAGAAATGAACTGCCCGTGGGAAGAGGGGGTATGACGTGCCTGCAGACATCCTTGGACAAGGAAGTCGGGTTGTGTCTTGGCTTATGAACAAGGTGTCTTCTATTTGGAAATAAAGGGGAGGAGTGCCTTCCTTGGCTTACCAGATATAGATGAAGGCAAGTATTACAGTGGTGCCCCGCTTGACTATTACCTCGTTAGACGAGGAAATTGCTTTACAATGAAGTTTTTGCGATCGCAAAATGTTTTTAATAGGGAAAAACTGTTTTACAATGATTGGTTCCCTGCTTCGCAAACCAATTTTTCGCTTAACGACGATCAAAACAGCTGATCTTCGGATCTTCAAAATGGCCGCCCGCTATGCAAAATGGCTCCCCACTGTGTTTTAGGACAGATTCCTCGCATTACAGGCACCGGAAAATGGCCACCCTATTGAGCAGGGATCAGGGAACTTTGTAACCTTTTACCCCCAAAAAATGTATTTACATTGACATTCCTTCCCCCTTGGCTCTTGCTGTCTGTGGCCGAGCCCCGCCCCGCCTCTGCGCTCGCCCGGGACCTGTGGCCATCATCCAGGTAGCCAGTCTGGAACTGCCACACCGCTGGGAAAGCACATCCTTGGCAAGGGGAGACGGGCGCCGCAAGGCTGGCAGGTCCACTGGCCATGAGCTCAGGTGAGGCAGGGTGGGAAGGGGGGCCTCCTCGCCAGTGCACTGGGCAGGTGGGCAGGGGCAGGAAGGAGAAGCCTGGCCAGGGCTCCGCTGGGCAAAGAGTCCAGCTGGCCTGTTATGCCACCCTCCCCCCACTTTGGAGGCGAGGAGGACAGGGGGGTGCCCTCTGCAGTTCCTTGCCAGGGCTCACTCTCCCCGTGACGGAATGCCCGCCTACACATAGCATCGTCAGAAATAAAATGCCCGGGGGTAAAATGCCTGCAGCGACCGTCCTTATTACCCCCAGAATTTTCATTTTTACCCCATTTGGGGTACTTTACCCCTGTTCCCTGACCACTGATATATAGGTTGTTTCCCCTTCTTATCTTCTGGACTAGGAGATGGAGGATCTTCCGCTGGATACTGAGGTATTTCAGCCATTGGAACGCATTGAACCGGTTTTCAGTGCGTTTCAATGGGATTTTTACTTTCGCTTGTCGACCATTTCGTTCTACAGCGATTTTGCTGGAACGGATTATCCTCGTCAAGCAAGGCACCACTGTATCTCATACACTAGGAAAGCATGAGGTTAGGGAAGACTGATGTAGAAGGCTAGCCTTCTCTGTTTTCCTCGAAGATCTTGACCCAACAAAGCTTCAGGCTCCAAATCCAGCAGGTCTAGATTTGGGAACCAGCATTCCCAGAGCCGTAGGAGGGGTTTTGGCTTTGTTTTATTTTGTTTTAATTTAATTAATAAAATGAAAATTACAAATAACAACATTCAAACTATCATACAAACTCAATAGTGCCTACACACGATGCACCTTGAATTCTTCCCCCAACCATGCCACCTTCACCCTAAGGAGGAGGTGACCAGCAATAGCCATTTGTACCGATTTCCACCCCATTCTTCTCCAAAAATTCATTGACTCTTCTGCTAGCCTATAGCCTTTCCCCGTCGAAGAGA